AAAATAGATTTTTAACTGCTGACCTACAAACATTTGGAGCAGTGAATTGTGAATTGTGAACTGCTCCAACAGATAGGGTACAGGTGCTGTTAACAGCTACCTAAGCACAAGCAAGAATGACCTCATGGTTCTTAGTCCAGGATGCAACAGAGATCTGTCAACTTCTGCACAGGCCAACACACACAAAAAAGTTCCTGAGTGGTGGGAGAGAGTATCTTCAGCAGTGGAAAAGGAACAAAAATTTCCTATACTGTTCTTGATTTTCCTTAAATGAAAGACTACAAAAAATGTGTTTGGTCTTAGAGGGAAATTTATCCCCTCTCTACAATTCCTGGCTGGTGCTGTTATTGGGATGACAAGAGGAACCAGCTTGTCTGTGTCTCCACCCTCCTGATGCAGGAGAGAGTAAAGGCAAATGGGTCATGAAAGGGTGGATCAGGGGTTTTTAATACTGCTGTTTCATAGATGGAACTGAAATATGTTGTTGCATCTGGAAATGCTGGCCTGCCCAACTATATAATCACCACGCTGCTGCAAGCAAAATCTACTCTAGAGACAGGTCTATGCTATAGGCTTCTGCCTGCATAAATACGTGGATGAGAGTGGCAGAGAGATGTGATACCTGACCCACATAGGTGTGCTAAAGAAGCTTTACTAGCATAACTTGTTTCGCTGTGGGGTAGGGAGGGGCGATAACTTTCTTGTGATGAACAGCTACAGAGCATAATTTTGCTGCTGTAAGAGCATCCACATGCTTTGCTGGTTTAGTATCACAGGATTCCCATGTGCCAACGTACAGTGTCCCTGATGTAGGCAGAGATTAGACCACCATGCGCTTTCTAAAAGGAGACAGTAAGGGAAACTCATGCCAGGCAGAGGGTGAAGGAGGAGAAACATGGAACACCTTTTAAATAAGTAGAGCTTGAAATGCTATTACATTGCAATGCACTGACAAGAGTGAAGAAAGGAACTTTAAGTATGCATGCTGGGTGTAAGCGCATGCTTTTTAATGCGATGCCTTGCATTTAACATAAGTGCCAAGACTAGAAATGTGAATCCCCTGAATATTTTCTCCTCTTCTTCCTGCTCCTGTGGGTTTGGCTTGCAATGGGGAAAGCAAAATTTATGGTGAGGTCCTGAGATGCCACATCTCCTTGAGTTGTCACCCCTTGGCTGTGCCCCACAGTGCCCCAAACCTTCAAGGAGAACCTTTCAAATAAATGACAGGCAACTCCAGAGAGAAAGGCTGCCCAGCCTGCAGGGCTCCACACAGTGTCTCCCGAGAGATAAAAGGAAGGCTGCCGGGATAGATTCATTCCTGTCTTTAAGATGGTATCACATGGGATGAGCAGGGCTGCAGCCTGTCTGCTAAGTCCTCTGTGCAAAACTTCAAACAGAAGCTCTGGAGGCGGCAGGGCACGGGGCTGACTCACCGGCCGGCTGGGTGGACACAGCCTGTCCAAGCACGTCTCAGCTTTCCAGCTCCTGTGTGGGTTGCCCTCAGACAGCTCTCTTGTCCTCAGCTCCCTCCGAGGGCTCTCACATGGCACATTATTTTAGTCATGTTTTTGGCTTTGTCTTTTTTCAGCTCTTCCACTGCCCTGCAAAGCAACGGTGGGGAGTTGCAGGGTGACCTGCATCACACACAGAAGCCACTGCTTTGCATTGCTACACACCTGGCTGGACCGTGAGTGAGGTGCTAAGGCACTTAAGGGTTTTAATTTGGGCGATTAAATTCTCCAGTACTAATCCTAGGGGTGTTCCTCTCTATGAAATAATACCATGCATATAAACTTCATCAGCAAATATAAGAGGCCATCAAAAGTTAACAAAAGTTAACACTGTAGTTACACAAGTGCTACAAAGTTATCATCACTTTATATCCTTCCTATGGGCTTGGTCTTTTGCACAGCCCTGCTTAAGGATAAGCAAAGTTCAGAAACCCAGGCCCATGATTTTGACAGAAGGAGCTAGCTGGCTCTCCCTGTGAGTCAGGACAGTACAAATGATGAGAGACGCAGAGTATGGAAGCAATGAAACTGCAGATTTTAGACAAGATTATTTTCCTGACTTTCCCAAATTCATTTGAAATGTGCAACTACTTCCCAGAACTACATGTACACACCAAATACACCTATTTGCAAATAAGGAGCAGCATTTTACCTTCTGACATTTACTTTATTTCTTTAAGAAACTGGGGGGAAAAAATGTAGACCCACTAGAGTCAGTGAGAAGTTTCCACTAACAGGATCAGAGTTCATTCTACAGTAAGTACAATATACTGAAAATCAACTCAGAACTTATTCTTTGTTTTATAAACTAAGTGAATGAATGCGAGGAGTCTAGCTCTGAGCCCTTCAAGTTTTCTACCTCTTGCATTTTTGGGGGTTGTTCACATCTTTAAAAGGCTACTTCGTGCCTCAAGACTTCAAATCTTTTTCCAGTCACATAAGTCAGCAGAAGTCCTTTACATATTTCACACAGTCTAAGTAAATCCATACCAAAAAAAATATCCCTTTCCTAGAGAGAAAAAAAAAAAAAAAAAAAAAAAAAAAAAAAAATTCATGTCCTCAGCCCCTGGGGTATTTTAACCATCTGGATGGGTACTTCCCTTCTGTGGTGTCTGTTACTCCCTGCCTGCCCCACTGCTGAAACAGGCACAGAGCAGCAGTGGCCGAGGTGAGGGAAAGGACAGATGACAGCGCAGGTGTGTGACCAAACTATCTGCTGTGCACATTTAGCTACATTAGCTCTGCAATACACTTAAATAGATGTTTGGGGAAAACAACAAAAGTTTGTGTTTAATAACTGGGAAGCGATGCTGAGGAATGCACACCAAGGGCTGAAAAGTAAAGGAAACCATGTGGCAAGGACAATTACCAGTTAACAGAAAAATAGTTAACCTGCATTTACAATGAACATGGGTGCTCCCTAATCCTTATTGTGATCCCACAGTAGTAGGATTTTGGTTAGGAAGAGTCCATCTGACAACGTATTAGAGTTTGGAGCAACAACTTTTCACTTACAGATAATCTACTGCTATTCATAAACATATCTACCTACTAGTTCCTAGAAAAAAAAAATAATTAAAAAGTCATAGTATTTTCTCATTCTCAGGGGTCCTACACACGTTACAACCTGGAAATCAGAAGGCTGATTGCCAGGAAAATGCTGCTTACATAAACAGCAAAAGCACCCAGCCTGATTATGGCCCTTCCAGGTTTCACTGAAGCACTCAGCAGGTGCTGAAGTTGCTGTCATTGACTTCTCAGGGATGGCACTGCCATTTACCTACGAACTGTTCGATAAACTTGAAGTGGTTTTGAGTCATTTGCACAACAGCTGATCAAACAAGCTTTTTACAAGCCTCACATTCCCCTGTGCAACCCTTCCATAGACAGTAAAGATAAACCTGCAGTCAGAGCCCTGGCAAACCAGCCGAGAGAAATCCAAGTAGTAAACCAGAGTCTTGTATCTCTTCTGATTATTAAGTACTAAACAAGTTTATTTTTGTCTGCCTTCTCATCACAAAATATTTTTTTATATATACATCACCTACAAGCCTAAGGAATTGGAGTCGTACAAGTTCTTTGCAGCAGAGCGAGCCAGCCGAGCAGCGCTGGCCTTATTTCCTAGCACGCCAACACTCCCTCTTACTAACGAGCAACCAAACAAAAACACGGCAGATGATTCCCTCCAGCTGCCCACTGCTCTGCGGTTTTTTCCCTTAAAGGACAAGCCAGTCCAAAATGTGCATGTCATCAGGCTGCTCCATTAGAGCTCATTAATTCACAGCTCCTCAGCCTCTAAACCCTGCGCATTTTTTTTTTTGCTTTGTGAAACAAATGAAGAGCTCTAGAGACAGTTTGTAGTAACGCCAGACAAGTTTAACTACTACCAATGTTGCCTATTCTATCAAGTTCAGCATCCCAGCTCCTTACTCAGCACTCCCAGCTCTCGGGGTGCCCTTGGCAGCTGTACTTTTGATCATCTTAAGAGGGGAAAAACCCCACATTCAGTAAAGTACTGAAAGCTCAGCTTGCATGCTAGCAACCCGAGAATAACTCAGCAATTTATATAGCTGCGCTCAAACCGGTCTCTATTTTATCGAGTCCCGCCGCCTGCCAAACAGGACTATTTTTGTCGCACTTATTTCCCCACTGTTTTATTTCGGTGACACGCACACAGCGAGCCGCCCCGCGTTGCCGCTGCCGGAGCGGCTGAGCCACAAGTTGCAGATGAAAAGCAGATCCTGCCCCCAAACACCCCTCACCACCACCACCACCCC